AATGCCACGGGTATGCCATTCCATTTTTGTTTCTATATTTTTTTTGGTTTTTCTGCTTCACTCAGCTGGCTACAGTTTACACACTTTGTTGGCTCCGTGTCCGGGTCTAAATGCTGCTGCTGGATTGTTAATATTATTTTATAATTTCGTTTTATTACTCCTACTCTGCCGCAGAGCGTTGTAAACATGTTGTCGTGAATGGACGCGGGGTGCCATTTGGGTAGTCAAAGTGTGCCATTAAACGTTAAGCAGCCAACGGAGGGCAAAGCGTTAAATGCCGGGCGGGGATTTCGATGGTCATTTAACCCGGAGACCCCCACCCCCAAACAACTAAAAAATAATACAAAAAACCTTGCTAAGATCGCTTTAAGTTCTTGGCTGGCCAAAACATTTTCTTGCAAATTTATTGAGCGCAAAAATCCTTTGAGGGAAAAATCAAAACAGCAAGCAAGCCAAACGGAAAAAGTGGTTTGCATATTACAGCTTATGGATGTGCACTTACACAGCACTTTGTGATGGTTGTTACCTTTGCTTTCACACACTCTTGATCAATCTGTATTCTCTGGATTTGTTATTCCCTTGAATTGTTTTTGTGTAGCTTTAGTTTCAGAGCTTAGTGATGTGAAAACGGGTGAAAGGAATAAGCTTTTTTATGGTATTTTGCCTGCATCTGTTTGATGATTTTCTTTGTTTTCTTTTAAAACGCAATATTCACTTTAAAACAAGGAGATTATTAAGGAAATTTCCCACATAGACCTCGAGTAAATTGTTTTTTTGTTTATTTTCCCAGTATTTCAATCATTTTCCAGTGAAAATAAATAAAATTTGTTGCCTACTTTGCCGCAGCATTGTAAATTTCGTCTTTCATCAATCGCCTTGCCCATCCTATATTGACATTTATTGAAGGCGCAATTCTATTGACATAATTCAAATAGGCAACAACGTGCCACGCAATTCAAACGCGACAAAATGTAAATTGGCCGACAGGAGGGAGTAAGAGAGAGAGAGAGGGAAAACTACGTGCCGAAAGAGAAGACAAATCAATTTTAGGGAACACAATTTGAGGACTTGGTAGCGGAGGTGGTGGGAGCAACAGCAAAACCCGAAATGATAATGAAGGCACAAATTTTTGGCTCCATTGTGCGAGTGACAATGGGACAAAGATAAAAATGACAGCCACAAGCTGGCGGCTAAGTCAGCGGGATGAGATCTCCGCGGGGACTGACTGACTGGGCACCATTGTCTCAGGATGGCCGTTAGGATCCCAGAGTGGGAATCCCGGAATGGGTAATGCACACACATTGTGGCAAAGAGTTTAAGCAGATGTTGTCTGGCCGGCGTCTAACTGTCAGACTGCGGCTTATCGCCAGCGTTTTGACAACTGCCCAGTTGCTTTTTTGGCCATTTTGCCGTTTTGCTATGGCGGCTGCCAGTTTAATTATGACATTTAATTTCGAGTTCATTGTCGGCCAAATCTCTGGCTGCGCACAAAAGCATGCAACAGTTTTTTTGCAACAACTGCACAAGCGGAAGTACATTTGTCGTTGGCTGCACAAACCGGAAGTTGTAGCACACATGTACACATCACACAATCAGTGCCTGTGTGTATATATGCCGCAAATATCCTACATATAAAAAACATTTCCCATTTGATAAAAGCTATTTTGTGCTTTAAATTTATTTCATATTGTCCTAGGCATTAGGCAAAATTTATTAATAAATTGTTAATATATTTAATTTGACATTAATGACTAATAATTCTCCCATTAAATACATAAATAAACAACTTAATTTCAGATTTAGCCAAATGATGAATTCCAAGCATAAGTTTGGTTTCTTGAGAACATTAATAGCAATCCATTATTATGTTGGGTTGGTCTGGTAACCATTAGATCGAAGCTGGGTCGGATAATGAAGCCATTTTCGGCCAGGGTGCCGATTTAAGTTGCCATTTATGAAACATGTGCCGGCATTTATGCATATTAAATTAGTCAGCTTAGGCAAATAAACAGGCCAGAGGACCACCGAACCCTTTTTTATGGTCCCGAGAACTGCGTCATATTCCCACACATTTTGCTTAATATTCAGAGGTTCAGCTGGCCCCAAAAAAGAAAAGAAAAAAAAAGAAAAGAGCAAAAGCAGAAGCACACTCTGGTGGCAGCAGGAAGGGATCCATATAATAGTTGTTTGGGGCAACTTAAAAACGCATGTTGGAACTTTTCAAGTGTGAATTGCTCTTCATTTTTGCAGCCGACAGACCCCCAATGGAAAAACTGGGCAAGCTGAAAGGAGCTGAACTGAAAAGGCGTTCGTTGCCTACTTTTCCCAGGCACTGTATTCCTGCGAAAATATATGTATGTATGGGGTGTAACTGTGAGTGTGAGACGCAGTTGTAACAAAAAGAAACATAAAATAAAATGGCAACGGCAGAAATGTTTTATAAAAATTTATATGAGCATAATTTGTAACTGCAGGAAAAAAGGAGAAGGAAAACGCTCACGCAGAAAGAAAAGATGGAAAAAGAGATGTTACAACGACGCCTCCTACGGGGCGTATGGGTGTTTTTCAGCGCGTGTAGGCGGTGGGCGTGGTCCCGTCAGACAATGGAAACGGAAAATGGGCTGCAGATGTAGAAAATGAACATATTTTCGGCTGTGGCTGAGTAGAGCAGCTCGATTTGAATTGCCAGCCACGCTGCGGGTGTGTGGGTTATGAAAAGAAAACACATCCCTAGAAAATGAGCGTCCAAAATTTAAGAAATTCCTTGCAAATGTCCCACAGAGTTCATTTTGATTTGATCTTTGACTTGATTTTTTCAACTAAATTGAAGAATATTACAAGAAGAAAATCTGAGTTTTTGCAAACCTTCAAAAATAAATAATGTTTTTTTACAGTCAGTATACCTATTTTTCGGCACATAATGAAGAAAACTAGAACAAGCTACGGACCTAAAATAGGTGTAGGTTTAATTTTTATTTATTTGTTTCTCTACCCAGACTGTCATAAATTCCAGAAAATCCAGGTCAACTTTTGATTTTCAATAAAATGCCAATCCAATAAACTCAAAAATATTTTGGTAAACTGCAGTGGCCAAAACTGAAACCATTTTTTGGTTACTCTGTCGAACGAAAGTGATCAACAGTAATTAAAGAGAAATTTGCAAACCAATACTGTAGTCAGTGTTTATCAGTTTTCCCCCTATTCACCCCCTTTCCCAAGCCTTTTTAGCTGCTTTTCCAGATTTCCAAACTTTGGCATGTGGCACACAATTAAGATGCAAATTGTTTTTGCACAAAATCAAATTTCCTTTCTCCGGCAAACAACAACAGGCATATCAGTTTGCCACTTGCCAAACTCTTTTCGTTCTCCTATCTCTTTGTAGTTGTTGTTGCTAAGTGACAGATACAACAACAGCAGCAGCAACAACAACAATTGGGGGAAAATGCTTAAATGTCGTTCAAGTTTGCGAGTTAAGTGCACTACGTATGCAATCGACACATGTGTGCAACAAAACTCGTTAACACTTGAAAAGTTTCATGGGCCCGAGGGCAAGTCGGGAAATTCTGGGCTCACTGCACTTCGCACACACACACAGTGATACCAAAAAGGACGAAGGGACGTGTCGTCTGTGTGTGTGAGCAAAGTAATGCTGCTGAAAAAACACTTAAGCAGAATGTTGTATATATTCTGTAACCAAGTGAGGCGCTGAGTTCAGTTTTCCTCCATTTAGTTCGTTAGATAAATCTTTGCAACATTGACAGTGTGTGTATGTATGCCTCTGTGTGTGTTAGCCAGTAGCTGAGTGCATATGTGTGGTGGCCTTTGGGCATCTTGTAATCGTTGGGGTTGAGACCCGATTGACAAGTAGATGATGCCGGCAAAACAGCGTCTGGAATGCAAATCGTTAGCTCGCTCAAAGAAACTCCCTGCAAATTGCTTAAAAGGATCAGTTAGCATTGGCCCAATGGCTTCAAGGGTTTCCAGACGACTTCGCTCCTTAAAAACAAAATGGTAATTAAATAGACTAGAAATAACCACTTATTTGAAAGGACTCTTTTAAAGGTACATAATACACCTAAAAAATTGTACACCTAGAACAGTTAAAATTTGAGATATTTTCTTTATTTATTTGAGACAAAACGTTCTTGAAATTATAATTGAGCACATTTAAATAATTATAATCAGTAAAATTTACTTCAAAGGAATTTTTTTATCCATTTATGAATGGTACAACCATTTAAAATTAATAAAGGCAAGCTTTTATTTGTTAGTATTATGAAAAAACAAGAGAGAACGCTATAGTCGGGTGCCCCGACTATCAGATACCCGTTACACAGCTAAAGGGAGTGCGAAGGAGATGGAGAAAAACTTTGATCCGCCGTAACTTTTTAACGAATGGTCCGATTTAAAAAATTTCTTCTACATTTCGATAGGTATTGATAAACACAATAAAACTGCATTTTTACTTTTCCAAAATATTGAAATTTTTAAAATCGTATATAAGCGATTGTGGGCGTTAGAGGGGGCGTGGCACCCTTTTGAAACAAACTTGCGCTGCGTAGGAACTCCTAGAATCTGCATGCAAAATGTCAATCTTCTAGCTTTTATAGTTTCCGAGATCTCAGCGTTCATACAGACAGACAGACGGACAGACAGACGGACAGACAGACAGACGGACAGACGGACAGACGGACATGGCTAGATCGACTCGGCCAGTGATCCCGATCAAGAATATATATAGTTTATAGGGTCGGAAACGCTTCCTTCTACCTGTTACATACTTTTGCACGAATCTAATATACCCTTTTACTCTACGAGTAACGGGTATAAAAATTTGTTTTTATTTTGGCAATGACATCACTAGAAGAAATAAAAAATCTCTAAGATATCTTAAAATTTAAGTTCCTTTAACATTTGATTTTTTTGACTTTTTGGCTGTAATCTCAAAATTACAAAAAATGTAAAAATATTTTTGTGGAAAACTAAAAAGAAGGGAGGAGATGGCGGTGCTGTTGGGCCGGAGGAGCCCCATTGCTGGATGGGCGAAGCGTGCCATGCCCACAGCCGCCCAGTTTCTGCATGAAAACCCGAATGAGATGACCCTGCTCGAAATGCTGGGCTCCACGAATCTGCGCAAGAGTTCGCCCGAGGACTATCGAGTGCTGCGCGACATCGTCAACACCTTCGAGCGATACTCCGGCGTGGGGAACGACATTCAGTTGACCCTGGCCGAGCACTCGGCCAACGAGCTGATCATGGGCGAAAAGAAGCGGGAGTACGAGAAGGGCATCATGGATCCCTCCAAGTTTGCACCCGGTCACCACATCTTCCAGGTGCTGCACACGGTGAAGAAATCGCCGCTCTTCCAGATGCTGAGGAAAATGCCCAAGGGAGCGGCCCTCAAGACGCACGACACCTCTATGTGCAGTTCGCGGGCGGTGATCGAGATGACCTACCGGGAGAACCTGTGGGTCTGCACCACCCACAAGGGCTGTCGGGTGGAGGAGTTCCGTTTCGCCGCGGAGAAGCCCAAGGACATGCGGCACAAGGACGGCGAATGGCAGCCGATGGAAAAGCTACGCGAGTTGCGGGGAGAAGAGAATTTGAGGAAATATCTGCGAGTTCGCCTCAGCATGTATCCCCTGTCCAGTTTCAGGACGAATGCCCACGCCTGGGACCACATGATGGGGATCTTCACGCTGCTGGATGGCCTTTTGCAGTATGCCCCGCTATGGGGCGACTACTACTACCGGGCCCTCGAGGAGTTCTATGCCGATGGGGTGCAATATCTGGAGGTGAGAACGGTGGTGCCCCAACTCTACTGCCTCGATGGCAGCCGACTGCCACAGCGGGAAACTGTGCAGATCTACTTGGACACTCTGGAGCGGTTCAAGAAGGAGCATCCGGGATTCATAGATTCCAAGCTCATTTATGCCCCCCTGCGTCACGTGCAACCAGAAGTGGTGGGCCAATATGTCAAGCAATGCACCGAGCTGAATGTGAGTTTGAATAATTGGGTAGTTTAATTATTTTACTCTCAAACTGATATTTATTTTAGGCAAATAATTGCTTTTTAATTTCTGAAAATAGTCGCCTTTTATGGCTTGAAACTATCAAATTACTTGCTTTGTTTCGTACTCCTAAACCTTTGTCCAAAATTAATTTGCATATTGTGATTAATCCCAGAACAAAGCAAGGTGCGTATTTCAGTGCAGATAACAAATTAGGCCAAATAGTAAAGGAACATTTTGTAACTAAGAACAATCAATCAATCTAAGGCCTCTCGCATCAATAACCTTTTCTAATCCCTTGACAAAGTAGTTGATTTTATGAGAATGCAAGTGTTTGAGCTCTGATAGCAAATGCTATTAGCATTTAAGTTGGATTAAATGTTGTGCAGATAATAAATACAGACAATCAAAAAATCAAAAAACTTATTCAATACTCCGAAAAAAAAATATTTTGATTGGAATAAACCATTAAAAGTGACTTCTAATCTACAAAAAATGAATTTTTAGAAAGAGTTTCCCGACTTTGTGGTTGGCTTCGATTTGGTGGGCCAGGAGGACAAGGGCCACCCGCTGAGCAAATTCGCCGAGGAGCTGCTGAAGCTGCCCGAGCACATCGACTTCTATTTCCACGCCGGCCAGACCAACTGGTACGGGTCGCACGTGGACCAGAACCTGCTGGACGCCATCGTGCTGGGCACCAAGAGGATCAGTCACGGCTACACGATCACCAAGCATCCGCTGCTCATGCGGCTGGCCAAGTACCTGAACATCGCCCTGGAGGTCTGCCCGGTGTCCAACCAGGTGCTCCAACTGGGCTCCGACTACCGCAACCATCCGGCAGCCACGCTGATCGCCGCTAATGTGCCCATGGTGATCTCCTCCGGCAATCCAGCCTTCTGGCGGGCTGCTCCTCTGTCGCACGACTTCTACATGGCCTTCCTGGGCATCGCACCCATGAACGCCGATCTGAAGTTCCTCAAGAGAACCGCCAAAAACTCCATTCGCTACAGCTCGCTGAGTGACGAGGCCAAGGCGGAGGCCATGGAGAAGTGGAAGAAGGAGTGGGACGAGTGGGTTGAAAAGATTGTCGATCCGAAGGAAAATGTCTCAGAAGAAGAAAATAAGTGATTTTTAAAACCTATATAACATTATATTTAATTTGTGACAATTAAATTGCTTTATAAATATTGGAAGTTAACGTACAACTAAATTAATCCACCATTTATTTCTAAAACAATAGAAATTCATTTCGTTTTTAGAAATAGTATTGCTACCAGATTAATCGTATTATTTAATACCTATGCATAACTAATATTCTTAAAATATATTTAACAATAATTTTAAAATTTATTATTACATTTAATTGAATATTTAAATAGTTCAATAAAATTAATATTTCTGATGCATAATATCGCAAAGCCCTTCAGATATCCTCCATCCTTTCCCTTAATAAACTGAAGTCGTACCTGAATTTTGTTTGAGAGAGCCAACAACTTTTCCACTCACGCACATCGGAAAGCCCCAAAGTCAATGACCAATGGCAAAAAGGGGGGAAATCCAAGGGATAAACCTTGAGCTGCACTTTCAGTCGCACCGCAAATTGTTTGAGTTTCCGCTTCTTGATTATTTCAGGCAAACCAATAAGTTTCTGGCCAACTTTTTATTGCATACTTCGCTGCGGGTGTTCGGGGGGTGGTGAAAGGGGCGGGGGTCATGCAAATGTCACAGAAACTAACACTTCCGGTTCTTCTGCTGGCACTAATTTCATTGACTTCCATTTTCCGCTCACACATGACAAAGTTGCTTCAGGGCGAGGAAGTTGGGCAAAAGTCTTTGATGCGATCAAGAAAATAAACTTTCTGCCCTGCCTGCCATTGCTTATAATTAAAAACTTTATTATTTGTTTAACTTTGCCCGCAGCTGTTGCGCATTTGACAGACAGAGATGGCAAAGTGTGTGCTAGTACAAGAAAAAGGGGCGAAAACTTGTTTCGCAGCCACACAAGAATTACCAACAATTATCGAAAAAGTTTCGCTTCATTTATCGCCCGAAAGTCAGTCACAATTTTCTCATTTTGCTTTCTTTTTTTTTTTGAGGCTTCCGAGACAAACTACCAATACGGTTCTGCAAACTTTTTAACGATGGGAAAACACATTTATGCCACGGCGCTCCTGTCGCCGTCTAATTTGCAAATTCATGAATATAAAGTGGTCTCAAAATGCCAAACAAATAAATCAAATATGCAAATTTTCCTTTTTTGCCAAACACACACACAGGCAGTCGGCCATCATCATTCGCTTTAAAAATATGCGTAAAAAGAGCAGATTTGCGAGCTGGGAACCGGTGCATCTGCCAGGAAACGGAGATCTTCATCCAAGCAAAGGTGACTACAGCGGGAAAATTAAACATCTGGATAAAAGAAGCTGTCTGAAAAATATATTTTCCCAGTAATTTGTACACCCAAAAAAAAGCACGTCGGGATCAAATCGATATGCGCATGGCATGGCATAAGTAGCGGAGATTCTTTGACTTACATGAGTGGAAAAGAGAAACCCACATTCAAAATTTGAACTGGCCAAATCACTATGGACGGCAGTCCATGTAGTGACGAAGCGCACCAGGAGAGTGTGCGAAGGCGACTACTATTATATAGCCGCAAAATTGAAAATCGGCAGTGATAGTCCGATCGTAATGAGTAATACACCAATCGAAAGGTATTGCAAAAACTTAAAGGATTGCATACCAAGACTTTAAGAAAATCAATTGGCTTGGGAGAGAGAGCGGTGAAAGTGAAAAAGTGAAAATTTCGAAATTTGGAGCTGTTGGGGCCGGTGGGGATAAATGCCCCCTCGCAATGTTTTAGTTGTATCAAATAAAAACACCTCTTAACGAGGTAAAAAACTAGTGACGATCGCACCTTCAACGTACAAAAGTTCTGATATCAACTTTTGTGACGAAAAATGATTTTAGATGCGACTAAATAAGTACGCTACCTAAAATTTACTCGTTCGGCCCGCTTTAGCAAATATTTAATATCTACACGAATGTTTTTCTGTTGTAGCGTGCCGAATGAATAAATTTCAGGTAGCGTACTTATTTAGTCGCATCTAAAATCATTTTTCGTCACAAAAGTTGATATCAGAACTTTTGTACGTTGAAGGTGCGATCGTCACTAGTTTTTTACCTCGTTAAGAGGTGTTTTTATTTGATATCAGAAGTTTTTGTTTGTTTACTTTTGCTCTCATAGGTGCTAATATAAACATTTAAATTTAAATTGGTCATAAATCATAATTTTTAAACTATTGTATTTTAACGAATTAAGTTAAAAAGGCGTTGAAGTATTTCAAAATACCTTTTAAACGAGGTATAGCACATGTCTGTACCTTTAGTAGTGTAGAACTTAAAAACTAACGAAATTTAGCCATTTTTAGCTCTTTTCCCGCTAAAGTAGCGGCTTTTTCCAAAAGTCGTAGAACAAAAGATTCCTATATGGAACTCTTAAGTGCAAATTTACTGATTCCATGACCCTAAAATACAGTTCGGATACCCTCCCACAAAATTCAATACTCAGGGAGCGTTAATTGTTCGAGCTGGCAACAGTGGCTATTTTCGTATAAAAATAACTTTTAAACGTGACTTTTTACAGTAATGTGTTATATACCAAAATTTAAGGAATCTCAAGGGCTATACAGTTTAAGGTTTTAAAGAAAATCGTTAGAGCCGTTTTTGAGAAAATTAAAAAAAAGCTAAAAAAAAAGTTTAAACAAATTTTCTTTTGTTCATATCTTTTTAACTATTACATTTACACAAATTGCATATAAAAGGCGTTTATAGCATTTAAAAATACCTTTCAAACGAGATGCAGCACAAGCCTGTAGCTTTAGTAGTATAGAAGTTACGGCTTTCCGAATTTTAGCTATTTATAGCTGTTTTCCCGCTAAACTAGCGGGTTTTTCCAAAAGTGGTAGAACAAAAGTTTTTTATATCGATGTGATGAACGTCATATCAAATTTTCAGAACTTAAAAAACATATTTTGGACAAGTGGACAAGTGGACAAGCGGACAAGTGGACAAGTGGACAAACTGACAGACAGAATTAAATTTTCATTTTGGGAAGAAGAAGAAAATCTTATTTTGGCTATAACTTTTGAACGGAGAGTCGGATTTTGACAAATGGCCCCTCATTCGACGGGTATTTTCAAAAGGAATACAACTAAAACATTGCGAGGGGGCATTTATCCCCACCGGCCCCAACAGCTCCAAATTTCGAAATTTTCACTTTTTCACTTTCACCGCTCTCTCTCCCAAGCCAATTGATTTTCTTAAAGTCTTGGTATGCAATCCTTTAAGTTTTTGCAATACCTTTCGATTGGTGTATTACTCATTACGATCGGACTATCACAGCAGATTTTCAATTTTGCGGCTATATAATAGTAGTCGCCTTCGCACACTCTCCTGGTGCGCTTCGTCACTACATGGACTGCCGTCCATAGTGATGTCCTGGCCAGTAGACTTGACTTCTCCAACAAATCTAGTTAATTTCGAAATCGAGGTTTCCAATCAACTGGCGAAGTTTGACAGAAAATTGCTTTCCTAACATTCTTTTGCAGTGTATTGATGGTTCCTGCCTTAATCTCAACTCTCTAATTGTTAAAAAATGTTGACATCCTTTCGATAATTTCAACATATTAATGGACGTTTAATTTTTAGACACTGGTCGTTTCTTGCTTTTTATCGGTTCCATGACTTGAAAAAACATTTTCACAATGCCCACATATTTGTGGTTGGTGGAATTGGAATCCAAGAACGTAAAATGGAATTGGTAGAGGCCTAGTGGAAACGGTGGAAACAGTTCCGTGGGCATATATGCATTTCGTAAACTTAAATGTCCCTGAAATAACCAAAAATTGATAGTAATTACTCAAGAAAAAACAAGTGAAAGATATACCGAAAAGGGACAGGAATGATTCACATTGGAATATCGTTTTAGCTGCTTCCAAATCATGACGCCGTACGGAATATAGCTTCTTCTTTCGATTACGTCGCATAAGGCAATGGTCGTATTAACTAGAAAGGGCTGGAACTTGTTGCTATAATCCTTTCGTAGGATCTGCAGTCGAATCTGTCAAAGGAAAAGACTAAAATATCTGATTGCCTCAAGAATTTAAACACAAACTTACAGTTGGCTTTATAAAAGTCATGGTCAAAAAGCAGTCCATATTCGCCTCCGCCATATTCCAACTGATCGCTTTCACATGACAGGAAATATTTACCAGTCTCGCCGGATTTCCCTCACACTCGACTTTCATAAGCTTGAAAATAAACTGGGCCTCCGTCTAGCAAGCAAATAAAGAGGTCTATGATTTATTCCCACTCAAGGTCAAGCTAGGAAGCTTACCATTTTCCACATGAGGCAGCTGCCGAGAACCACCTGCCAAGCAAATATCATTGCTACAACTGCTATCGAGCTTCCAGTAATTAAAAGCTATATTCGTTAGCCAGCAATGGTTAAATCGATTTTTAATCTCTTTGTAATAGGTAAATTACCATTTCATTACGCAGATCACATAGTCCTACAAATGAACCGAGACACATTCGAGTTTAAGAATTAATACTAAATTGCAAAAAATCTTCAGATCTCGGGGACGGAATATCTTTCCAATTTCCCTCTCACTTTATCTCTATCCCTGTTCTTCGCAGTGAAATAAATTACCAAAACTGTGAACTGTAATCAATGATTTGTTATTATTTATGATCAAAATCATTTACAATGTTATAAACATGTTAACGAACGTTTTCATTTTTAGACACTGGTCGTTTTTTACTTTTTATCGGTTCCATGCTTTGAAATAACATTTTTACAGTGGCCACATAGTCGCGGTTGGTAGAATTGGAATCCAAGAATGTAAAACGGAACTGATAGAAGCCTTGTGGAAACGGTGGCAGCAGCTCCGTGGGCAATAATGCATTTCGTAATGTTAAGTTTCCCTGAAATTAGATAATAAATAGGGGTTACTCAAGGAAGAAAGCCAGTAAAAGATATACCGAAAAGGGACAGGAGTGATTCGCATTGGAGTATCTTTTTAGCTGCTTCCAAATCATGACGCCGTAGGGAATATAGCTCTTCCTTTCAATCACGTCGCAAATGCTAAATGTCGCATCAACTAGAAAAGGCTGGAACTTGTTGCTATAATCCTTTCTAAAGATCTGCGCCCGAATCTGTAACCAATTATCTGTAACCAATTATCTCAAGAATGCGAACAGTTACTTACAATTGGGCTTATCAAGGGCACAGTCAAAAAGCAGTCCATGTTCGCCTCCGCCGAATTCCAATTGATCGGCTTTACACGACAGGAAATATTCATTACTCTCGCCGGATTTCCCTCACACTCGACTTTCATAAGCTTGAAAATAACCTCGGCCTCTGTCTAGTAGGCAAAAAAAAGCTCCGTGATTTATTCCGACTCAAGATCACGTTACGAATATTACCATTTTCCACATGAGGCAGCATCCGAGAACCACCTGCCACGCAAATATCATTGCTATAACTACTTTTTCAGTGATATCAGTCGTTAGCCAGCATTTGTCAAATCGAAGAATAATCTATTTATAATCGGGAAATTAAAATTGTATTAATAAATCAACTGTAATTAGTTTTACAAATGAGTCGAGCAGTTTCAAATCAGTTTACAAATAAATGAAAATATACGACTTGACAACGTTTTAAAGAGATAAAACCGAAAATGCAAATTATCCACAAATCCAGTCCTGAACAAACTTCACTTTAGTAAAAATAACTTTAACATCAAAATCATTATTATGATAAATACTGCTGTGAATTATTCTTATAATTATAATGTTATTAACATAATGTCGAAAGATTTAATTTTTAGGCACTGTTTTTCTTTTGCTTTTTATCGGTTCCATGACTTGAAGGAACAATTTTGCAGAGCCAATAAGTTCGCTGCTTGTAGAATTGGAATCCGAGTATGTGAATCGGAATTGGTAGAAGCCATGTGGAAAAGGTGGAAGGTGATTCGAGTCCAAATATGCATTTCGTACTCGCACAGGTCCCTGAAATCAGAATATAAAACTGATGATCTAAAATAAAAAACTCAGTAGAGTATATACCGTAAAGGGACAGGAGTGGTTTAAATTGGAATATTGTTTAAGTATCTTCCAAAGTATGACGGCATACGGAACAAAGCTTCTTTTTTGGATCACGTTGCAAAAATCCATTCTCACGTCAACTAAGAACGGTTGGTACTGGTTGCTGTAATCCTTCCTTAAGATCTCCATTCGAATCTGAAAAAACACAAAGTTTCATTAAATCCGATTTGCTCAAGAACTTGGAAAATTTCTTACCATTGGGTTTCTCACGGTCACAGTCAAATGACAGTCCATGTTCACCTCCCCCATATTCCAATTGACCGCCTTCACATAACAGGAAACATTTTTAACTCTCGCCGGATTTCCCTCGCACTCGACTTTCATAAGCTTGAAAATCACCTCGGCCTTCGTCTAGTAGGCAAATAAAGAGCTCTATGATTTATACCCACTCAAGATCAAGTTAGGAAGTTTACCATTTGCCACAAGAGGCAGATGCCGAGAACCACCTGCCACGCAAATATCATTGCTATAACTGCGTTTTCGGTAAGGGGCTGTCCATATATTACGTAATCACGTTTTTGCTGATTTTTGACCCCCTCCCCCCCTTGGTGATCAGACGTAATCTTTCAATAAATACCCCCCCCCAATGATTACGTAATCCCAAGAATAAAATTTTTTTGTTTTAATATGTGGATTCAAACAGAGATGCAACCCAATCTTTAATATTGTTTATAAATGGAGTTTGGTATGACACATTCGGTTCGTATACGCCGAAATTATCTCCAACTTACTCTTCGTCAAGCCATTCCAGGTCTTCGCATTCTTCGTGTGATTGAACCACTAAACATTCTCTTTCTCGCCGCCCAGCCACTAAAAAAAATTTTTTCTCTGCTTTCCTATCTAAGTTTGCAGATATATTTAAAGAAAAAAAGTTTTTAAAAAAATTCTTTAAATAAAAAAATACAAATAAAATGATTACGTAATCATTGTGCAAGACCCCCCCCTCCCCATGTAATCAAACATAATCATTTCAATGACCCCCTCCCCCCCTAGGTGATTACGTAATATATGGACAGCCCCTAATGAAAAGTTATACACCTTACGCAGCCTTTGTTTAATCGACGTTTAATATATTTATAATGAGTTAACTTCGAATTTATTACGCAGGTCAATTAGATCAGTTTACAAACTACTATTAATAGGGGCAATTCAGAAAGCATGTTTATAATTTCCAATTAATTGAGCATATTTGATTGCTGAGCCTTTTGAACAACCTATACATACTGAAACCAGTAGTATTTAAAAATGTCGCATTGCCGTCAGAGGCAGATACACACTCGAGTTTTCCGATTCCTACAAAGAGATAAATCCTGGATTGCCATAAATCCACAAATCCAAATCCCTTCCTCCAACCAATTTCTACCCAATTTCCCTGGCACTCTCTATTCGGTCTCTTTCCCTGTTGCATTTTGATGTCTTGCTTTGGCATCCAAAGTCCAAAATCATCATCATGATGAGCATTGGCACGAGGACTCTGATGAGGATGGGATGATGACCATGGAGGCATAAAGCGCAGTTAGTTTGCATACAAATGGCATTTGGAAATGTGCAAAAGGATTGCGCAAAAATCAACGCGACATGCCAAGCAGGACAAATAATGTGCATAAATTTATCCACAGATGGGTGGACCAGCAGCCAAAGATTGGACAGATACTGGAGACCCAGGGTGGCAGTAATAAAAAAGCAAACAAGTGCTGGTCAATATGTTGCACTGGACACGAGATGGTATGGTATGATGGGTTTGCGGATGATGCTCCTGATGATGATTAGATTACTGCATGCGAAACTGGAGAAGGGAGCTGCTCAAGGGGGTTTTTTCGATGAACGGCAAGGAGATGGCAACATAATAACGCTTACGTCCTGGACATTAGCATTGCCAAAGGACAGGGTATCGGTTGATGAGGTTTCTGTTTCTGTTCCAGCCGTGTGGACCAACTGATTGGCATCGACGCTTACACTCTTCTTGTTTGTCCCAAAACAACCCCCCTCGTTCGCCGCCCATCTGAATTGATCAAAGTATCAAGTATGCAGAATTTTTTGTACTATGAATGTCGGTGAAGAGGGGACGAAAGAGGGAGTTTTCCATACCTTTCTGACCCTATATCTCTTGTCTATATTCGTGTTTTATGCTAATACATGGATCGTTGTGGTATGCATTAAAGGTGTTGGAATCCTTTGAGGAAATAAACAAGTATAGAAAGTATGGTAGGGGATAGAATTATGGGTTAGAGATAAAAATGAAAATTTCCATGACAGAAATGAAATGACAGAAACTTAAATCTTTGTAGCCACCCATTTTGATTAATGAATCTTTAAATATTCCCCACCACACTTTTATTATTAAATTGTTATTTGGTTTAAATTCAAATAGTTTTATAATTGGTAAGGGAAGGCTTTAAAAAAGCTTTAATTCGGCATTTCATTGACAACACAATATAATCGCTTTTAGTCCGGATATCAATTTAACAATTAATACAAATCGTTTATACTCACAGACGACGGCACAGTTTCCATGGCAGCCATGTGCGGGCGTAAATAGTTTATTGTTTAAAGGGATCAACACGACCACAAGCGCAGCTACACACGGACACACGCAGGCAGGATAATTGCATTATATTTCAGCATTTCCCAGCAATTTGCCTTTTGGCTGCCATTGTCTGCTCCTGCTGAATGGCGCCATCTGCTGGCCGGGCTAATGAACACTCCTGCAGGTTAAAGTGCAGGACAAGGGAGGACTCCCACTCAAAGCTAGCCGGCAAATTTGCAAATCATCAAATATAATTTCTAAACAAATTACAAACGTGCAGCCGCAGCCCGAAAGTTGCCAATGCAATATCCCCTACAAATTGCACAACCATACATTTGCATATAACGCACTTTGGGCCCAGGTCCAAGTGTGTTTGTATACGTATCTACCGAACATTTACAAATTATGCTATAAATGTATCCTCACAGCACACAAATGCAGGGACAAAGATGATTTGCCGCTGGCATCAATTTCACAGAGGGCTTTTTGGGCGGGGGACTTGTGTTTACCATTTAGCAATGCAGTTGCATTCCCGTTAACTGACGACCGTTTTCCCGCCTGCTCCTGATTTTGATACTGAATCTGATTCCGAATCCGATTCGGACACGGATCCTGTTCTGTTCTGTTCTCCCCACTCTGGCTAAATCATATGCAAATGCATGCGTATGACATTTGGGCTCGAAATTTTATTGTCCGCTCCGGTTGCTAAATTATTTAGAGCCTGGTTCCTGTTGCCATGACGATTCAATTCGGGAGGGAGTGCACTCGGAAAAAAGTTCCCAGGATAATTACAATTTGTATCATGGATCCACAAAATGTTTTTTACTTCTTTCTGATTCATAAAACCATATTGTTGGCCTTTAAAATATTATTAAATGTAAGAACCTCTTCAAAAATTGAATACCGAATTCAAAAAATTAGGAAATCATTTTAACTTATCAAATTTAATATGTAATCAAGGTCAAAAAAACCTTATTACATATAAAGATCAGTACCCAAACGAGACATATATTACTTGTTTTAATTATTTTTCTAAGTGTAAAAAGGACAACGGGTCATGCATTTTGAGCTCTGCCCACAGACAACCGCATAATTTATGCAAAATGCGTGTGCGAATGCGAGTGTGTGCGTGGGCGTAACTTTGTGTGTGTTCGTGTGAGTGTCACAAATTTTAGTTGCTTTTTGGCATTGAAATCGAGCCGAGCTTTTTGGGCCTGTCTTTCAATTTGACATAAAACCTTTGCCGGATCCTTTTCGGCTCACACATGACACTTTATGCAAAGTGCTCATCCTTCTCCTCCTCTTTTCGGTCTCCCTTTTTGGCGTATTTCACGCCCTTTCGCCGCCACACATCAAAATAAACATAAGAAAGTTTATTTTTACGTATACGTTCATATATTGCCCTTGAAGAATGTCTCCCGCAAATGAGCCACGCAAATTTTCTTTTCCTTTTCTTGCAGCTCTTTTATGTGCAGCCAAGCGTGTGTAAAAAAAGCACACAAAAGTTCATTAAATTGCAAATCCTTTTTTCATATTTGACGTGGCAACAAAGGGAAGGTAAAGTTTCATAAAAATATATTAAAAGGATTTTTAAAGGCACAAAGGATAAGCATAAAAAGATGTACAATATATATTTTTTTAAAATATTCACATTTTTATTTATTTGTGCTTTTTGTTTAAGTACAAGAATAATAAAAAATTTGTTTTTCCTTTCTTACTTATTAGTTTTATTTTAAAATATTTTAAATCTTCTTAATGAAAATAAATGAAAATATTATTTAAAGTCTTATAAATTAAATAATAATTCTTCGAAGATAGACTAACAATATAATCCTTATATTAAAGCGCCCTTCATGGCTTTAAAGTGTCCCCTCTTTTGAGGGCTGGATCGTTTGGGAACAACTGACGTGGAAACCCGGAACGTAAATTGCAAGGAACCCGCAACTCAGCTCGTTGAGCTGATAAGCAAACAGATTTATGACTGCATTTAGGGGTAAGCATTCGCAGTAAGCATTTCGACCTCAACTTTTGACTCTGGAGGCCTTTAAAAATGCAGAAGACAACACTCAATTCGTAGCCCGTCATTCGTAATTAAAACGAACCACTCACGTACTTTTGGCAACCAGACAAACAGAGCCAACGACTGTCAAAAGTCGCCTACGACTGTCCATCAGTCCGTCTGTCCGTCCGAATCCTCAAATTGACAGCCAGCCGGAGGGAGAGGGATATATGTAGATACATATATGGGGCGAAAGAGACGGGCAGGCCGGACATGGACACACAATAATTTAGTACGTAATAGACACGACCCTGCCGAACCGGAGTGAGGAGTATGGAGCACGGAGTAGGGAGTCCAAATCCCGGAGCCCAGAGCCAGGAGCCGGACCATCAGACAAGTGCTAGACAGCTCCGGTTGCAGCCCTGGACTTGTTCATTAACACAAAACATAAGCCGCCAGACAGACATGTGAATGATGAAGCACGAGCGGGTCGGCTAAATGGAGTGGGCAACGGACAGATGGACAGGAATACTCGTAGAATGCGTCCATATATCATAAATAGTCGAACTAGGAATGGGAACTTACCCAGGGAGCACATAAAAAAAATGGTATACTTGTATTTCGATTGTGGGAATTATTATATTATATTTAATCGCATTAAAAAATAAACTAAATCTTTTTCATAATTAAGATTAAACATTAAAATATTATAAAAATATTGTTTTGCAAGCCCCACGACTAATTAAAACTTTAAAATTAAATCAAGATATTAATCACGTCACAAAAATAATATTACAAGATTTTTCGTAGAATCTAATTGTACCTATATCCCTTTATAAAGTCGCATCTCTAGCTGCTCGCATATCATCCACTTGAGCAAAAAAAGGGGGTTCCATGTTTCAGGCCTTCAGACCATAGTTCAAGTGCCATTAAAATCG